TTGTACAATCTCAATCAACTTATTACTTGAAATCATAAAAATCCTCAATTAATGTTTGCAATAATATATTGCACTGACACGCAAGTTAACCTTTGCTTGGTAACAAAGTTTTATGATTTCCTATCTTTACGAGTTATATTTGGGCGATTACACAAAAAAATCTGCAATAAGCTCAAAATTGCAAAGAGTATTCGATGATTAGCTTTAGGAATGTTACGAATTGTTACTAGCTTTACGAATCCTCTTATATTTCTACCTATCCTTTTAACCTGCCACGTTGCAGTATTACGAGATAATTATAGATATTTAATTTTAGCAGTAATTTCCCCTTTTTTCTTAAGATCATAAGAATTTAGCCAGCCTCTTTAATATCCATTATTCATTTCTCTGGAAAATAGGTTACGTTTTTTTTATTTTTGCTTTATAATTGGAACTTATTGCGAGTACTGTGGTTTGCTTTTGAACTATGCTACTAAATTTTAAAAATTTATTACAGGATTGCGTTAAGTTTGCATTACGTTGTTGTCATTTATAATTGATAACTATTCATTTCGAGATCAAATTGTTGGTTTAGAAAGCTCTTTAAGAAAGTAGATTTTTTACAAGATACATTGCTCTAATACGGCGGGATTTGTGCCTTTTTTTTTACTAAGATTTGATTCTTGTTTTCGGTTAATATGGTAGGATTAATTATTCTGGTAGTTCCCTTTGCTCTTCCGATTCATTTATATCATCATTATGAAAGTAATGAACCATCGGATTTAACATTTCTAGTCAGCCCATCAAATACATCTTCTCTTCTTAACCTTTAGAAGACGGGGATCAGCACTTAAGTGGTGGTGGAAAACAAATAATTGTATTCAAGTTTTATACGCTTATAATATGCATACGCAACTAAGGACTTCTAAGGAATCTAAAGTTGAAGCTATTGATACAGCAGATGAGCATCCGATGAACCTAATGTTGATATGGTTTATGACAATTGGTACTACCCCTCAATAAAAGGCTTTACTGGACAAGCTAGCATTATTGAAAATATTTCAGTAAAAGGCGATACTCCATTAGATTATTTTGAATTCTTTTTTGATTTGTTTCTCCTAGATACCATAAGAATACAAACCAATATTTATCAAGACCAGAAATCCCGAATAAATTCGTGTACAGGGTGTCCCAATTTCGATGTCCGCATAGGCTATCTCCGAAACTAAAAGAGATAGAAAAAAAGTAGCTTACATGTCATGATTTCGTTTTTCGAGAAAATGTTAATACCGAAAACTCCGGACAGCTATCGTCTTTTGTTTTCGCCCTATCGGCAAAAACTGATAATTTTGCGAAAACAACAATTGCGAATATCTCACTTATTATCAAAGATAGAGTATTATAAATAAAACATTATATAGGCAACTTTTTACGAAGAATTCAGTGGCGTAGGTAGAATTTTTTTCCCATCTTTTATTTTCGAGATTTTAGACGTAACTTTATTTTTTTAAATGGAAACCATAGTTGGCTATGACCTAAAATAATTTGTTATTTTCTTCTGATAACAAATATATTTAGTTTGTGGGGTATATTTCTTATAGTTATTGAATAATTAACAAAAATTCCTTTTTTTCTATCTAAAACTATTGTATGTATTTAAAAGTTAATGTTATTATGGTGATAACCATACCATGATGGAAAACATTGTTTCCAATTATTGCCAAAGTTTGTAGTAGTATTTAAAAATTCACTAACAACTCTGGCATTATATGCTGGTGCTCTGTCATATTGAAAATATATCATTTGAGACATATTTCATGGCAAATTGTCGACCAAAGGCTCAATGTGCTGCCTTAATATATTGAGGTATTTACCTGAGTTTAAGTTTTTATGGTAGATACTATATGCCAAATATCTATTATCTAAAAACGCACACCATACATTGAACCCTAATCTTCTTTGAACACTCAGAGACTTCATCGGTCCAGATGACATTTTGAACAAACAGCAGATTATTTAATTTTTCTAAATATCATCTACAAAATTCTAATCTTAGATTGACATCTCCGGCACGTAAATAATGAGTAAGCCCCGCTTTGTATGGTTTATACTTATTTTTCTTTCATATTCGGGAGCAGCGGGTTAGGTCAGACGTCTTGTTCAATTTCTCTGCAAGATGTTGAAGGATTTATAGCAAGTGAAGCCAACATATTGACTTCATCCTCTTGCAGGTCATTTTGGTATGTTTTTGCACGTGGTTGGGGGAAGGACCAAAAATCTATTAAATTTTCTACTAATCGGCTGAAGGTTCTTACGTGCGGTTGTCTTCTTCGGATACCTTGTGAAATATAATCATGTTACATTTTTCATAATTTTCGAAATTCATTGTAAAGTTTTATTCAGTTTCGTTATACTGACACTTAACATGCTGGTACTTCGTACCAGCACATAATGCCAGAGTTGTTATCGAATTTTTAAATACAAACTTTGGCAATTATTTGATACATTATGTTCCATCATAGTATGTATGGTTATCACCATAGCAACATTAATTTTTAAATACATACATTAGTTTTAGAAGTGGTACCGAATACTATTTTTCCATCTGCTTGATTTGATATTGATGAACGCGCATGTACTATTCATGATCAAAACTAAGCAAAAAACGTCTTTTTCATTTTTAAACTTTCGTTTATGTGTAGCAAGGGATTTACTGAAATTAGATTCTATGAACTGTCGCCTTCATCATCTGGAGTCGATCTTCGACTACAAGGGCGTCATTTTCCTACAAGAATTGCAGATGAAACCTCACAACAAAAATCTTTGCAACGTAATTGTGTATTATGCACAATGTCTAAACAAATAATACATAAAAGGTTATGTGTCGAACCATGTTTCGAAATGTATCATACAAAAACTAAATTGGCATAACACATTTATATATTACAATCAAGTAAAAAAAAGTTAAAAAAAAAAAGGTAAAATGTACAAAAAATAAGTCTAAATATTATGGCGTTAGCTCAGAATAACGCTAAAAAAGAGTATTATATTAGGAAACATTCTACATAATATAATATTATGTTACATACAAACTATGAGACAAAAAGGTTTATTACCTAAATCTTACATTTTACATGAAAATAATTCAAATGAAAGTTGTTCTGTACGAAGGTGAAAGTAAAACGATGTTAACATTTTTTGACATTGACATTATTTGCAAAGTCATATGAAGGTCATGACCATTTTTTATATAGGACGCTATATTTTTTATTGAAAAATCTGAATCTGTGATAAAAAAGTAAAGTATTCTGTAATAGTATATTAAAAAACAAGTTTTGTAAGACACGCTTGAAATGTACGAATTCAAGTTGAAAAACGAGTGGCGAAGCCACGAGTTTTTTAATGAATGAGTGCTTTAAGTCTTATGAAACGTGTTTTTTATGCTATTTTTTGTAATTCGCGTTTTTATACTTTTTTTTAACAAAAATAAAGTAAATTTTGGCAATGTAGGGAAATAGGTATGTAGCAGTTGGTAACACCGGAACACTTGAAAATAGAAACTTTGAATTGACAATTAGAAACTGTCAAAACACAAAATATATTCACCTGAAAAAAATGTTTGATGTACACCTCCCGAAATAAGAGAAATTGCTCAGAGTCAATGTCCTCATCATTGTGGACTTTGTATTCGATGCTAAGAACGTGTTTAAACACCCATAGACAAAAATTGTCACATTGACAACTAGAAAAATTAATGACCCAATGTCACCAACTTGAACTGGTTCCATAAAATGTTACTAAAATCTCATTACAGCATCGGATGCTGTAAGGAGTCTCATTACAGCACCCGTTTGAGTACTGTTATAGCTTCCATCACCGTAGCGAATTACAAAAAAAATATTTTTTATTTGCGTTGGTATTTTGCCAGTTAATTGGGCCAGCCTGTATAAAATTTCATAATTTATAAAAAAAAATGATAATTCCATCTTATTCGGCGACCTCCAAACTCTTTAGAAACCATTCTGTTCAAATTTGAAAACTTGAAAATTGTTTCTTACCTTTACGGACCAGGACTACCACTTAAGTGGTGGTCTATGTTATTAGTACTTTGTATATGATAAATATATCATATGAACTACATTTTGTATCGATTTTCTTCAGACAATATGTTACCTAAAATCCCGGCCCGCTAAAAGTTAAGGAGAGGACGAAGGTGGACGCTTTTATTATGCTGGTAGCAATTTCTTAAGGCATTCTCTAAAAAAATTAGTCCTTACAGTAATAACATTGAGTTACTGCTTAAGTCTAGCAAATCAACTTTCCAGTACTAGCCAAGGGATTATTTTTTTTCTTTCATCAGTGAATCGATTAATATCGAGTGATTGCATTGGTAATCCATTCTTTATTTTCTGTGTTCTATGTCCTAATGATACTCGAATTTGTTGATTTGTATTTTGCGGCATTTCTGGAATTCTCGTTCTGTTTTCTCCATGGTCATCTTATTCACTTTGTCAGAGTCTTGCCTGGATATGGAACTCGAAATTTCGAACTACAGCCGAAATAATTATTTACTTAGCAGTTGTAGGTTCTTGAATGTCTGGTGTAGTCTTTCCCGTAGTAAGGCTGGTTAAATGGATCAAGAAATCCTCGAGCCTTTATTTGCCGTGAATTGTTTGACTTTGCATTGGTCAAACAGACCATAGATACCTATTCCTCGGTTTTCTTATTTCATGTTCTTATTTGGGAATCACTTTATCCATCGCATCGTTGATGGACTTAGCGATTTGTTTGATTACGTTATTTACATCAACGCTAAGTATTAACGTTTATTAACGTCATTACGCATACTTATGTTGTATTTCATTCTACCAATTTGTGATTCTGTATTCTCTGTTGTGTTTATTCAAGTGATTGATTGAGTATGACTCAAACTCACTATAACGAACGATTTGTTTTCCTCTTACATGTTTAGGATTTACTATAATTTAATAAGGTGTTACTAGTTTAAATAAATCAGTGAATGAAATTACAGCATATTTTATTGTATAAAAGTACACAAATCTAGAAAACACAAAACTATAAAAGTACACGTTTTAAAAAAATCTGCGTTGTACAAAAAACTACTGTAGGAATGAAACTTGAGTAAGCCTTTGAAATATTCGGGGAATGAACTATTATTTAGTACAAAAAAAAACAACAAAAACTTACAGATTAAGTACACAACATTAAATTAAATAATAATTAAGTAAGTACATCTTTTTGATGTTTCACTTAAATCTAATATTGCACTAACCGACCGTTAGATTTTTATTATTATATATAAATATCACCTAAAACCTAATCTACTGTTCTGACTAGGGAACTCAATATATCATTAGCCGATATAGGTTATAAATTAAAAAAAAAATAAACTTAATAAGTATTAAGAAAGAAAATTGTATTAGTAGGAGGGACTCAAAAAAAAAGATATTTTTTTACGAAACTATCAGTTCTTTGTCTCTTTATATTATAGCTGTTAGTTAAAAAAAAGAAGAATAAAAACTTAAAAACTATGCGCTTTGGCAGCTTTTAGCTTTATCCTCCGCACATTTTTGGACTAGTAACACTCTCGCCTATGATTTCATTTAAATAAGAACTAAAAAAATTTAAGAAGTAGAAAGTAAAAAAAAATAAATTAAACCCGGGTAGCGTATCGGCTAATAGTATCACGCGAATACCATAGCCAACAGAGGTCCTAAAACTAAATGAGATTACGAAAAAGCACAATGTTATACAATATTTACAATTTTTGAAGAATAAATTTAATGTACATTTTTTTTTAATGGGATAAATAAATTATTAGCTGCCATATACGAGGACAACAATTCTAAACAATACAAATAATAGCACCACAATGAAATAGCTCACACATGATAATGTATTTACAACAATGAATAATAATAATTATTATAACATGGCACATGTGAATTCACAACTTAAACTTACTTTTTAAAAACATTGGAAGGCACAGTATAAGAGCACTTTATTTTTTTAAATATTGTTATTAACGTAAACTTAAACTGTAAATTGGACGTAACATAGATAAATGGTCCCTGATAAGGAATTTATAATTATTTTTAACAAGCACTTAAACCGCAATTGCCAACCCTATAGAGTAACTCGAAGATCTTTCCATATTTTGAAAATTTTCCCTTCCGTACTGATCTCTTCCAGTTGAAGGAGAAAAATCCATTGGTTGATCTTGTAACATTTGACCCATCCCAGTAAATCTAGCAGCACTTAAAATCACTGATGGATGTTGAATTTTCGAATATAATAATCTTTCAGGATTCGGCGATATTACAGTCGATCTGTAATAAAGTGGTGATCTCACTGGTCTATTAACAGGTAGGAATTTTTCGGGATTTTTTATTCCAGATTCCGAAGAATGAGATACGATAACGGGCGTTGGGGAGGCTACGTTTTTATCGGGAGTTGCTTCGCGCGATGAGTGCCTACCATTAATTCTCATACAAGAAGATTCTTCATGTTTGTATAAATATGATTTTAACGCGAAAGCTTTTCCACAACGTAAACAAACGTGAGGTTTTGTATTCGAGTGGGTTTGAATATGAGCTCTTAAATTTGATTTATCCGCGAAAGCTTTACTGCATATTGTACATTTAAATGGTTTTTCACCTAAAACATTTTTTTTGTTAATTCAATTTTGTTGTGTAATAATAAATAATAATAATAATACCTGTGTGGGTTCTAATATGTCCTTGTAATAACCAAGGTCTTGAAAAGCATTTTCCGCAATATTGACATTTACATCCTTGGTTATGGGTTCTTACATGCATGGAATAAGCGGGCATACTAACGTATAATTTGTTGCAATGAGGACATCTTCTTGCTTTTTTGTCAGCGGGGCTTCGGTGAGTTTGTCTATGTCTGGCCAAATTGCTTGAGGTGCTGTATCTTTTTCCGCAGTCTGAACATTCATGGTCGTGACTTTGACCGTCTTGAGATTCATTAATTTTTTCGGTGGATGAATCAAGTTGCATTGGTTCAGATTTTGGAACTTGATCGATTATGACACTGCTTGGGGATAAAGTTGTTCGGTCAATACTATCCCCCTAAATCAAATAGATTAAAATAGAGTTGATTAAAATATTTATTTATAAAACCTCGATGTAACGGATTAATACGGAGAAAGGAGTGTGCGTTATCGCCAAAAGTAATAAAAAAAATGAATTTGCACTTTAAACTGTGTTGCACACAAATTCTGAAGCTATCCATACCGTTGCGTTCAGTCTACCTGGCTTTATATTTATACCAATGACTGCAGAATCGATGAGGACTGCTACATCCTGAGAACAGGTGCACAGTTCGAAGGCCCGTTCGTGACGATACGCGTAGGTATATAACTACTATTTCACACTTTGAATTAGCAAAGGGTTAATTTATTTTATTTGTGCTTTGTAATGTTGTTAACTAGAGTTAACACTAGCACTAGAACAAACACTAGAACTAGAACCGTTCGGGTTTAGCCCTGCGTCTCTTAAGACGGCTAAACCCGAATGTTTCCAGTTGTAATTCTAGTGTTAGTTTTAATACAATGAAAAATATATAACAATCTAGCACTGAATAACAACTAAAACAAAAACTAACACTGGTATTAGAACTAACACTAGACCTAGAACTAGAAACATTCGGATTTAGCCGAGCTTCTTTTAAGACGGCTAAACCCGAATGTTTCTGGTTCTAGGTCTAGTGTTAGTTCTACATTTAGTTCAATAAAAAAATACAAAAATCTAGTACTGAATAACAACTAAAACAAGAACTAACACTAGCATTAGGTCTAACACTAGACCTAGAACTAGAAAGATTCGGGTTTAGCCGTGCGTCTCTAAAGACGGCTAAACCCGAATGCTTCTAGTTCTACGTGTAGTGTTAGTTCTAGTTTTCGTTCATTAAAAATATATAAGAATCTAACGCTGAATAACAGTTAAAACTAGATCTAACACTAGACCTAGAACAAGAAATATTCGGGTTCAGACGCACAGCTAAACCCGAATATTTCTTATTCTAGGTCTAGTGTTAGTTCTAGTTTTAGTTCAATGAAAAGTATAGACAATCTAACACCGAACGACAACTAAAACTTGAACTAACACTAGATCTAGAACTAGAATCATTCGGGTTTAGCCGTACGTCTCTTAAGACGGCTAAACCCGAATGTTTCTAGTTCTAGATCTAGTGTTAGTTCTACTTTTAGTACAATAAAAATATACAACAATCTAGCACTGACTAACACTAGCATTAGAACTAACACTAGAGCTAAAACTAGAAACATTCGGGTTTAGACGTGCGTCTCTTAAGACGACTAAACCCGAATGTTTCTCTTTCTAGGTTTAGTGTTAGTTCTACATTTAGTTCAATAAAAATGTACAACAATCTAGCACTGAATAACAAGTAAAACAAGAATTAACAGTAGCATTAAATCTAACACTAGACCTACACTGAGGGAAATTATTCTTGGATGTATTTCTTAGAAACAAGTATAATATAATCTTAAAACAAAAATATTTCGAGCATCAAAGAATATCAATTGTTTGTATCAAAAAATTCATTCTTGCGTCAATAATTTATAACACTCAAATGAAGAATTATACAATATTGTTGTTATATGAATAAGTTTTTCTAAAAATAAAGATACGTTATTCTTGACTTAAGAAATCTATTCTCGATACGAAAATGGAATTGTTGACGCAACACTAAGATACTCTTTTTCAAGATTATTGATTTACTTTCAGTTTTCTTGAGAATCAAGAATATTTGTATACTTGGTTTGAAAATATGTGGTTTTTCTTCACTGAACAAAATGATCTTGTGGATATACAAGAATATGATAAGCTTGATCCAAGAGTAATAATCTTCGTTCAAGAATATATTTTCCTCAATGTAGAGCATTCGGGTTTAGCCGTCTTAGCTAGCACTGAATAACAATTAAAACTACCGTCTTTGATTTATACATCGTATAGACAACTCGGGGAATACCTCAAGTTAATTTATGAACATGGAATAGAGCAACTTTAGGAATAACTCAAGTTGGATTCTATCTATGAGCTTTAACGTTTATATTTCAATATACTGATGTATTAAATAATGAGGTCCGTTATATCGAGGTTTTACTGTAGACTTAATTATTTACCTTTTGTAAATGTGGTCGAGGTGCTCTAGATGATTTATCAAAAAGTTTATGAGTATAGGTAAATGTTGGTTCGTCATTGTTTTGTGAATTAGCGGTTGATAAATGACGATAATCTGATATTTTTCCAGCGGCGGCGGCCAAACTAACTTCAGCAAGTTTTGTGAGATTATAAAGTTCGTTTGGGCATTCGGAACTGTTATCAGATTCCTGAAAATCTGGATATTCGGCAACGCTAACTACGCGTTCCGGGCTGCAATCTGCAACAATAATAAACAACCTGTAAGTTACTGAATAACCAAACTTTGAAGGTAATTGCTAGAATACGCCATGTGTTTTTGTTGTCAGTTCATTACTGTACTGCGAAGAAAAGGTAAACACATTCCTTTGTATACTAAGGCGTCACAAGAAATATGCCAAAATAAATTTTGGAGGCCTTCCTTTCGCATTGTATCCGGTTAATAGCGTTAAAACAAACAATTTCTACGTTCCCGATAAATTTATTGTGGCGAATTGTTTATTAGTTGCACATAAATCGGAGGCTCCACAAGGTGTGATCGGCATTGTGCCAAATTTGCAACAAGTTGCTATCGCTGACGCACAAAAACGTCCAGCTTTATAGTGCTACGATGACAAACTTTATAAAATCAAACGAAAACGACAAACATATCCGCGCCTGAATTTTAAACCCAAATTAAACGGGAAAACCGAGATTAGAAGCGTTCTTGGAATCGATCCGCGCTTCGAATATCGACATTTTCCAACATGAAAATAGTTTCCAAGGGTATTGGACGCGACATCGTAACAAAACGTACTACGTCCCGACGTCGTGTCATCCAAAAATTTTACGAGATAACATCGTCAATGGTATATATAACTTTACCGACCTAAATTGACTCTCTCACCATAATTGTGATAGTTAACTAAAGCCAACTATTTTACGAGTATCGGTTACAACGATCTTATTTTGCATCGATTTAAATTTATGATAAGACATTTCAATACATTAGATGATTGCATTAGATAATGATTAATTATTTTGGGAAACGCAATTAGATGAAATGTATTGGGTTATTTTATGATGAAATGTTATGAAATTAAATCATGATAAACATGTTGTAACAAGTGATATCAAATAAAATAAATGATATTGAAATAACTTACCTTTTTGATCGGTATCTTCGCCGTTGTAACGACGATGAGTGATCAGGAACGCTCTAGGCATGGCGATGAGTCACAAAACGTTGTTTTTCAGAGTATTTCAAGCAGGTTCCTTTCGCTTCAGGACCGCTTTAGGAATCCTTCCAGAATTCTTCAACAAGACTTAAAATAGCTTTTTACAGTTCAAAGTCTTCAATCGATCACGCAACAGGTGTGGAATAAATTTGACAACTTGACAATTAGAAACATACGACTTTTCATCCAAAATTATTCCTAGTACACTCTTGATGTATCAAATTAAAAATAAAATCTAAGTGTTTTTGTGTTGGTGTGAAACGACGACAAGGGGGGTTTGTCGTTTCTTTCGGTGGTCCGCTGAAAATTGATGGTGGCGTGTTGGTGGTTGGGTTGAAACTGAAGTGCAAGAAACGTGGTAGCTGTTCTATATTTACGAAATATCCGAGGCGCGTGCCAAGTTTCAGTTTAGAGGGGGATCCCAAGCTTCTTGTGACGTCTGTCTCACTCGCATCGCGCGGAGCTCCCTTCGCTTCAAAATTCGTCCCATTGGGCCTCCTGCGTCGTATGGACCCTTCTTGATTAACGTCGAAGAGGTACTTGCTTCCATCTTTATCTTATGATTATCGTCTTTGTTTTTCTTAAAGATTTTTATCGTGAGCTTTATGACAGAAATGTCAACACTTTACTTTGTTGAACACGTGTTTTTTAGATTTATTTAATTAAAATAATTTCTTAAAAAGATTAAGAAGTCAGCTGATTAATATATCTGGTCCTTTTAAAATCTTTAGGGGGAATTCCACCTGGCCTGTCTAGGTCGAAGTCTAGCACAACCTCTGACTTCCGACTTAAAGTCCAAATAAACTCTCACCCCCGATCTCTTTGTATACAAACCGACGACGGGCGATGTTCTGTTTGGGGTTGGGGAGGTTGTTTGGTGACCTTATGGCGTCTGCGAAATGTCTTGTGTCGCTTCCTGAATCTGAATCACCTGGACCGTGATTTATGACTAAGATATTTGGCAAAACAGAGAAAAACAATTAGTAAAGTCTAGGAATTAGAATAAATTTTTCTGTGTATATCTGTAATTTAAAGAATTGTTTTGCAGGAAATGGTTGTTTAGAAAGAAATCGTAATCACTTATTCCTGAATGGAGTTGTTCCAATATTGGATTAATGAACACAACACGTAAATCTATTTTCGTAGGTTCCACAGTTTCACATCCGTTCGTTTGGGTGTAGTAGATGTTGTCGGTCGCTTTTCCTAACTTCGCTCTAACATTGAACATGATTCAGAAAGCTTTCGATGACTTTTTCTTTTCGTTTCGTCGTCGTATATCCTATAAATAAGTTTTACTGTTGCCATTTGGTCGTTATAGCGGTGTGAAAGCTCGTTTTGTTTTCAAGTCCACCTTTAACTGGTCAGCAAACAATAAGGGGAAGTAATTGAACTTGTTATTTGAAATTTTTTGTTATAAAGTGTGTACAAACATATCAAATCTGCAATTAACCAACATTTGGTAAAATGATTTATTGTTCAACCGGTTTAATTAAAAAATCTGCAGCCCATTCAGTCACTTCCTGCGAGTGTGAGCACGTGCACGCCACGGGCCTTCTTCATTGTAGGGCACGAGGTTCTGCAAATAGACGAGAGAACTCGACACACCGAGCTACTCCATATGTTAATTTTCTGACACATTTTCATTAATGAGACACCAGATTTCGCTAACCCGTTCAAATGTGGTCGCGTACCCGCAATAACCGCAGCGGAAGTGGAGAAAAACAAACTGAAAAGCACGTGTCCATTGCTGAAACTGAAGCACAAAGAACCTGGCAGGATGTGCCGGTGCGTGCTTTATGCTTTATTTTCCTTCGTTCCTATTTTTAATTTTTCGTTCCAAGTTTCGTGTAAGCTTAAGTTTCTTACGTTAAGACGCACACCTGAACAATATCTTTACTTTGACAGGTTTACTTTTTAAATATTTTGGCTAAAATTAAATAATTAATCTAAACACTTAAAATTATTACGTATTTAAAAGAATTATACTTGGAGCTTCCTGTTTTTGTCAATATATTTCTAAATATTTCAACGATCGCGTGGGTTATTCCATTTTATGGGTATTAAACTATTTTTCTCAACTTTTTTCGTAGAATATAAGCGTAAATATTTTGGAACGCTGAAAAATAATCGTTAACAAAGAAAGTAAAACTTCCTTCTCTTTTAATAAATAACTTCCAGGACAAAGCGACTCTAAAAACGAAAACATGGAATATTCGCGTATATTTTATTTAGACTTTAGGCGCAGGGTTCAAAGTTCTGGGAGGAGGAAATTAGTCAGCGAATATAGGCACCTGTTAATTTTGTAGTTGGCACTTATTCAAGTTGCCCTGTTGTTGTGCCAGGTCCATAGCGTGCTAATAGCCGAACCTACGTGGAATTAAGCTTTTCGAGAAGAAAAACATCTTTCAAACACCTGTACACATCAAGTAGTGGCCGTTCCCTCGCACGTGTCGAATTTTCAATCTAACTTTAGATGTTGTATATTTAGATCCAGTTCGAACCGTTCCGAAGAGAGAATCCACACTTAGGCATAAAAATTTTGAAAGAAAACAATCATCCTCAACGTTTTAAACTTTAAAGAAATGATAATAGATCATCGGAAAAAGGGTTGTTATGACTTGTTTTGTGGAGATGAAACACTTTTATGTTAGAAATAATAATAACAGATTTTATCGTTGGGAAGAAATTGTTTCAACAATTATTAGGAGTTTGTGTTGTGGTTTTAGAGATCAGTTTTCAACAAGTGCACGTGGCTGAGCAGAGAAAGCAGCAGAGCAGGAATCGTGCTTTCGGATGTTGAATGAATGCCTGCGTCGTTACTCAAGGCGTCTAAATCCGTCGCAGGAATGCGTCAGGACGCTAGCGGCGTCTGAAACCTTTTGGCTACACGCCATCAACCACCTCTTGCTGCACTACCTATCCTAACTTGCACCCACTGACTCATGGTACAGATCCAATAAACGACAATGTTCAAATTCCAACTTTTAAAATCATCCTATTGTTCATAATTATTTCATCATATTCACAACTAATTAAATATAATCATAAATATATATATAAAATAATATTATATCGTTTAATCCTATTTTTTTTTAGTCACAAGGGGAAAATTGATGACTCTTAGTGATTCACGGCCATGTTCTTGGATTCAACATGCCAGGTTCTGAGAAGATCACACGCGAATCCCAAATAGACCGCGTGCGCGCTCGTTACTTTTTTATTAATGTTTGGGCGGTGCTACAAAAATCAAGGCGACATTTGAAAGCGCTAGTTATTTTCGAACGGGTCCTTTTTCAAGGACGACATCGTTTAATAAGACCACAAAGTCAAGATATAAATAACAGGGAAAAGAGTAAAAGAAATATTCCAATACGTTAAGATTACATTTTAATTTCATCATAAAGTCAATTTTAATAATTTAAAGGAATTTAATGTATCTAAATAATAAATATTATCATGAAAACCACTTTAATGAAGCTTATAAAATTGGGTAATTTGGCTACAACATTTCAATTTAAAATTTTCTATCTTGAATATAAGGAAAGAGATGGATCGACTCCAAAATGTATTAAGAAAAATCTTTTTTAAACCGTTTAAAAGTAAGAATGAAAGAGAATTTACTTTAAACCACCGCCACGAAGCTGTTTTTAGTTATTTCTGGAACAGCCGTACTGACGGTAGTTCTATGGCCACCAGCATCCTGCTGGGGGAAAGAATGCGTCCTGCAGCGTTTTCACCGATTCCTAACGTTTTACAGAGGCAGATGTGCAGAGTATAAACAAAGCACGGGCCGCTGCGAGTTTTCAGATCGTTCTTTTAAGCCTCAAGTCGATCGTTCGTTACATTATTATTGTTTATTCTGTGGAAAACTACCTGGATCAGATCTATTTTCGGCACCCGATTCAATCGTTTTTCCACGTAGCACATCATAGGTTATATTCTCAATAAATTAGCGCTTTGAGAAAGCAAATATTCTCGACAGTTATTATGAATAATCTTTCATCTATACAATTAACTATGAAAATATAAAAAAATTTTGAAACATTTAAAAAACGGATACATTCTTTTAGAATTTATAAGAGGCAGGTTTTAGAGATTCTAGTCTCACTTTATTTATTACTCGTAAAGGGGGATTTAAAAATAGTGTTTTACAGAAACATCGAGTATTGAAGATAAAAAAGAAACTTTAAGAAGTTTATAATTATGTCGACAACTTAATATATACAGTAAACCTCGATATAACGGATTAATACGATGAAGGGAGTGTCCGTTATATGAAAAATTTTTAATTTGCATCAGGTTCTTTGCTATTTTTACTTGATGTATTGTTGTTTAATTTCCAATTGTACGCAATATGTGTCAGCTTTCCTGCTTTTTCACTTTCAAGCCGATTGCGTCTCTTATTGTGTATCCAGCTGAAAGCACTGAATTGGAATAATTTGGAGTATATTTCAGTTGCTGCTGAAGTGACTGGTGCTGACAAAATACGAACAACAATTTTGCTCAATGTAGTAGGTACTGCTGCAGAGTCCTTTCCACCACGACAATGGGCTCATCGATGCCAGGCTTGTATTTCCCCATACAAAAGCTCTACTCCACAAACCTTCATAAGACTTATACTTTGCCAAATTAGCCATAATGTATAGTTTCATTTGCTTGGCTACATTGGTTGAGTCTCCCTCTTCGGGCTGCTTGTGATGTAGATTCATTGGCGAGGTTTTTTGTCTCATCTAAATGCCCCTCTTTCTCCTTTGTCCTGGTCACAACGTCAGAAGTCCGCGATGGCTTGAATCACTCGAGGTCTACTAGTGTAGGAGCTGATGAAGTTGATCTCAAACTTCTTCTTCCTATATTGGATATTGTTCTTACTTCTATTACTCACATTTTTAACTTCTCCTTTGAACGATCCTCATTCCCTTCAATCTGGAAGGTTGCTCATGTTGTCCCTATACCTAAATCCAAGAGTCCCTCAAGTTTAAATGATTTTCGCCCAATTTCCATTTTATCTGTTCTATCCAAAGCTCTCGAGCGCCTTGTTTGCCTACAAGTTCAAGAGTATTTACAAGAATTTAACTTGCACAACGAGTCTCAATCGGGTTTTCGTAAATGTCATAGCACGACAACAGCGCTTATTAAGATTACACGTGATATTAGGTATGCTTGCAACAAACGTTGTGTTATCCTTGTACTACTTGATTTCAGCAAGGCGTTCGATTCGGTTGATCACGATCTCTTGTTAGCGTCACTAGCTGCCCTTGGATTTACTTCTTCATGTTTATCTTGGTTTCGAATCTTATCTTTCCTGTCGTTCCTTGTGTGTGCGTGCTGATTCTGCGCTCTCGTCTGCTTGTGATATTAAATGTGGTGTACCCCAGGGTAGTGTGTTGGGTCCTTTGCTCTTTTCGATTTTTATTAATGCCGTCACCCATTGCATTTCTTATAATTATCATATGTATGCTGATGACCTCCAAATTTACACTACGACAACTATTATTGATTTTCCGGAAGCAATTGCACGTCTTAATCATGATTTTTCTAATATTTTGTATTGGTCTAAACGTTATGGCCTTAAATTAAATACTGTTAAAACTCAGCTTGGCAATCACCTTTACTGGCAAAGGTGAATGATTTTTCATCCATTCACTGAATGCTTGACGGAGACATTATTCAGCTGTCAGACACGGTTAGAAACCTTGGGGTGGTTATGAATTCTACAATATCCTGGAAACCTCAAATTCAATCCGTCTGCAGAAAGGTCTATCGTTGTTTCCACTCGCTGAAAAGTCTCCGTTGCTTCCTTCCTCCCATGGTCCGTCGTAATCTTTGTTTTTCTCTGATTCTTCCCCATATAGATTATGCTGACACGGCATATCCTGATCTTTCGGCAACACTCTGAAACAAACTGCAAAGACTTCAAAACAACTGCATACGGTATATCTTTGATCTCGAGAGATCTCAACACATAACTCCATACCGTAATTATTTACAGTTATTAAACTGTCAGAACCGTAGATCGTTTCGTACATGAACTATGTTATATACTGTTCTTCACAATCAAACACCAAGGTATCTGTACTGTATATTTCAACACTTGTCGTCGCATGGTTTACCCACCAGATCTCAGTTAGATTCTCTACTTATGTTTTCGACCCATACTACCGAGATTTACCATAAATCGTTTACTGTACAGCCGATAATAGTCTGCCTCTGAGATCCGTAATATTCCTCACTTTGTGACATTTAAAAACCATCTAAAACGTCATTTATTTGCTCTCCAAGTATCTTCCTGAGAAGTTCTTTCTTTTCTTCTCTTCTTCTTCTTTTACTTCTCTTCTTCTTTTATTCTAGCACCTATCATTATGCACCGTTTTTAGTGACCATAGGTTTAGCACAGCAGCTTGCCATTTATTTATTGTTTTTCTTATATAACTTAATACGGCTGATTGATTGGGTCCTTTGGAAGATATCGCTTACGCGATAAATCGACCCTTTTGCCCGTATTTATGCATTAAGTTAAATGTATATGTTACCGTCAATCTGTATAATTCACGTACTCTATACAATGCCTAGGTAATGTATAAAATACCTGGGGTGTCTAGGCAATGTATGAAATATTATGAAGATTATTGCCCCTT